TCACATTGTGACTAGGGAACAAGTGAGTCCAAGACGACGAGACGATGCCGGTGCCATTGATTGAAGTCGTAAAGTTTCGAACGGACGAGGCTATGCTGCTGAAGAAGCTGCTGAGAGCAGAAGAATTGGACAGCGTAGCAGAAGGAGCGGTGACAATCGGGCCTTCAGAAGTCGTGGAATCGTAGAGAGTGTAGACCTCAGTGTACGTGGTAGGGACCCATGTGGTCTTTCCACAGGCACAAGGGCAGATAGAGGAAGATTCATTGTTGAACTTGAAGGCGGCGGTGCCGGGCGTCAAGTTCTCACAGGCACACTCGAGAGCGGTAGTGACGGTCGGGACGGATTCTGCAAAATATTATCAGCTCATTGTCAATCGCCACGAGTACATTGCAAGAAGATGAAAAGAAATAACGGGATCATTGATGATTATACTTACGGGCGAGAGTAAGGGCGAGCAACTGGAACAGTAGCAGAGCCCAAAGGACTCCGGGAGCCCAATGGAGCCGGGCGGCGGCCATCCTCACTGTAGACGACGTTAAATAAATATCAAACAGTTGTCGAGCTTAACGAAAACTTACTGGCAGTGGGATTGAAGGCAAATGACTGAATGCCAGAGGACGGGAGTGAAATTTGGGGGATTCCGTAGATCGCAAGTGTTTGGCAAGTCGCGATGGGTTGGGTTGGTGATGAGGGGAAGAGGGGGGAGGAAGGTGATAGAGTGAGAATAGAAGAAAGAAACAAATTGAATTTCCTCCAGCTTGATTGTTGTGCGAGAAATATTCGAGGCCTCGGCTAAGACGAATACAAAGGATGAGGTGGATGAATATACCATAGACCCGTTCTTCATTCAAGGAAGGAGCTCAAGCGACGTAGTGAATTTGGGCATGATAATTCACCTTTCGTTCACCACCTTCATCCATATCGGGGAACTAAAGAAGGTCACCATTACCGGAAGGTGAGACTCAGCAAGAATCAATGGGTCTGAGTTTATATCAGTGTTCTTCAGGTTGTATCACAGATAGAGAAGGTTTACATATCTCTGGCAGGTGGTTCAGAGCTTGCAACATGACTTTCAGCCTTTTGATTCTCCTGCTTTCTTGCCTGACTGCCCTAGAAGAGACATGTTGTGGCATGATATGATGACGATAAAAATTTGCCATGAAGGTAATTCAATAGGAGTACATGCCATGAATTCTTTGTGGTATTGAGCTTCTACGCGCTCTATTTGGCCCCTCAGTTGAGCTACCAGACAATACTTATCACCACGTGCGAGTGTAGCAAATAGAAGCAGACTACTCGGCATAGGCTAAGGTAAGGTATGTTAATGCTACCATTCATGTGTCCCATTGCCTTGATTTAAGAACCCTACACCGAAAGATTCACTTGAATTCCTTTGGTCAGAATCGCTATCACTGTTGGACAAGTCTTTGTCAAGCCGCTTTGTATTACCCAGCTCCATTGCTCCTGCCCTCTGAAAATGGACACTTCATAATAATTTCCAACTCAACGGAAAATGCACATGGTAATCTCAGAGATTGTATTCCCTGGAGATACCAACAATCTCTTCAGAAATACTACTATGAAAACCTCGCAACTACATCAACGGAAAACGGTCTCTACCGACTCAAATTCTGCTCTTATCCCTCGTATCCTTGACAACATCAAACCCGGTCCACCCATCCAACTTCTCCCGAATCTCTTTGGCATACTGCGGAATGCCACCCGCAAAGTTGACCTGTTCAAACGCCTTACCCGGCATCGACCCACCCATATACGTCGACCGCGTCGTCGGGAACAAGCTCGCGTCGCTCAACTCGTTGATCCGCTGCTTCCACGCCTTGGTCGCGTCCGCGGTAGGGTTGACGTACTTGATGCTCTCCCGCTCAATCTTGCGGATGCAGTCGGCGATCCAGCGGCCCTGGACCTCGACCGTCGAGGGCCCGTTGCTCAGCAGCGTGGGACCGTGGGGGCCGTACATGTGGAACATGTTGGGGTAACCGCTGACGGTGGTGCCGAGGTAGGTGTTTGCCGCGGCTTTCCATTCGTCTTGGAGGTAGGTGTTGTTGATGCTCTTTAGGCCCATGTTTGTCATGCCTCCGGTGGTGATATCCTAAGAAATTCCGTGTTAGCTTTTTGACGAGGTCTGCAACGTTACGCATGCAGGGCGAGGACATGGTACTGATATCCTTCTCCTTGTGCTTTGTCGCGTTCGACAACACTGGTACCAGATCCCATCCCCTTGCCTGTGCATATAAAGAGAAAAAGACTTACAAAACCAGTGGCAATGGCAACCACATCAAAGTCGTACGTTGTCCCATCCTTCAACCTGATACCCGTCTCCGTGAAGCTGTCAATCTCGTTCTTGCTAATGTCGACAACGTCCACATTGGCCTTGTTGAACTGCTCATAGTAGTTCTGCTCCAAGCAAGGCCTCTTGACGCCAAAGAAATGCGGCATCTTGTCCACCTTTGGCGCCAAAATATCCCTCTTCCTCGCATCCCCGATCCGCGTCCGCACGTTCCTCGCCCAAAAGTCGTACGCCTCCTTGTTTGCATCCGCATCAAACAACATATCCTTGTAATTCCCCAACCAGAACCGGAACCCGCCGTGCTCCCACAGCTGGCGATAAAACGCCTCCCGCTCCTCAGGCGAGTCGTCAAAGGTGTTGCGCTCCACCATGCCGTAGAAGAAGCCGCCGAAGCACTTCTCGCGCAGCTGGTAGAGGCGCGGGTACCACTCCTTGCCGATGTTCTGCTCCTGCGCCGTGAGGTTGCGCTTGCCCATCGGCACCGCCAGGTTCGGCGTGCGCTGGAAGACCTTGAGCTCGCCGCTCTCGCCGACGGCTTTGCCCCATTCCTGGCAGATTTGGACGCCCGAGGCGCCGGTGCCGATGACGGCGCAGCGCTTGCCGCGGACGGGTACGTCTTCTTCGGGCCAGAAGGAGGAGTGGTGGACTACGCCCTTGAATTTTTCGACGCCGGGCCAGTTGGGGATGTAGCGTTTTGAGGCCTAGAGTTTTGATGGTGAGTTCATGGCCAACGTGAGGAGTGAGAAGGGGGTTTGACTTACGAAACCGGCTGCGACGACGAAGTACTTGCTCTTGGCCAGGCGGCCGTCGGCGGTCTTTACGTGCCATTTGCCTTCGTCTGGATGGAACTGGGCGCCGGTGACGACGGTATCGAATGAGCAGTCTTTGGAGAGATCCAAGACCTGTGTGACTTATATCTTAGCTTTTGTTCAGGTGTATTCCTTGGAATTATCTTGTGTGGACTGACCTTATCAACGTGATCAAAGTACTGACGAAGCTCCTGGTAATTGGGGTAATTGGTTGACCACGTCCAGTCCTTGAACACCTCGGGCCACGAGAACTCATACTCTGGGACCTCTGAGTCGACTCGGGCACCGGGGTAGCGGTTCCAACGCCAGGTTCCTCCGAACGAGGTTCCGGCTTCGTAGATGACTGCCCGTAGGCCCATCTCCCGGAGAGTCTTCAGCATAAAGACTCCGCCTTTGATAATCATGTTAGTCTTTGAAGGTGATCACTAGGTAAGATTTGCGGTTTGATCACTCACCAAATCCACCGCCTACGATGAGAACATCTACATCGAGGTTATCGGCGTAGGGCCCGTCTGTCTGACGACGCTTGGCATAGTCCGTCAGATCGGTCGCAAATTTCTTTTGCTGGGTAGCTGTAATCGTAGCCATGTCTGGAATTTGCAATATCAAATTCTCAGAAGTAAATGTCAAACAAGGATAATAATGATATGAAGGGTGTTGAAGCACGATGAACACTGCTCTTTCGTCCAATTTATTCAATTTGCACACAGAGTCGAGGGAGTTCAATGCTTCTTATAGCCTCGTGTGACGACATACTGAAGTCTACCTTATCCAGTTCGTTTCGCATGAGACGTGTTGCTTTACGTGACATCAGACGACTACAACGGGTATCCCTAGAGCATCCCCAGAGCACTCCTCCCATGGGGACACTGTACTCCAACATCATGTACGGATACCTTGGAAGAGGCAACCGCAGTTACATTCTCCACATCAACGTCTGCCCGCATTCGTGGCATTGCATCGATATCCCCATTAAAGATACTGCTATTGTCTGTGGAGGGGCCGCAGACGCCGAGGCCCTCAGAGCAACGTTGGACGCATAAGGCCGCAGCAGATAGATGCTCTCTATCCCGCATCACCGGGCGAGGTTGTACTCACCTCAGACATGCAGCAAAACACGTCGAAGTCCGCATATCATTTCCCCTCAAACACTCAAACACCAGCCTCGTCGTCGCGTCTGCACATCCCCGCATCACACCGAAGGGAGGAGAAGACTTCGAAAGGAGGAGCCGCTGCGGATCCGCCCTGCAGGCAAGGCGATGAGCGGATACTGGATGGAGGAGGATTCAAACAAGACGGGATGTCACAGTGAAATGCGGAGAGCCGCTGCGGCCGTGGAGCGGATCCGCAACTGCCGTGACACTACTGTTCTCACAACCGCTTTGCGGGGAAGGCCAAACTCTCAGATTCGCATCGTGGGGAGGGAGGGATGGTCCATGTCTTGAGCCGAGTCAAACTTGGAGAAGTTGGTCTGCCCCCAAGGCCGGAATAGGTGCCGTTCAAAGTGTGTGGTGGTGGTGGTGGTGGTGGTGGTGGTGGTGGGCCGAGGTTGGACGCGGTTCGGATGACTAAAGTACTAAGGTTTGCATCTATTTCGTCAACTTGCGTGCGTTGCGTTCTTGTTTGGGCCTGCAGCTGAGACGATGGGTCCCCGTATTTAATGCTACCGCACCGACATGACTGCTTTGGAAAAGGATAGGCACAGATTGCCAAGACGAAGCTCGGCCGAATTGATCATCTCTGTGATCTTCTTGTGTGTCTGCTGTGAAATCTGAACTCACTCACTCACACCCCTCCTTCCTCACATGAGCCGTTCATCTCATTTATCTTCACACGCCATCTCACTCACACCATAGCAAACTCACATACTCTCACACTCAAAAATGCCTCTCTCATCACAAGCAGTCAACGAAATCAAAGGCATCGTAGACAATGCCGTCACAACCTCCTCCACCGGCATCCCCGGAACAACCGTAGTGGTCATCGACCGCACCGGCACCGAACAATTCGCCCATGCCGCCGGCACCCGGGGCGTCGACTCTTCGGAGCCCATGACCCTGGACAGCGTGTACTGGATCGCCTCGTGCACGAAAATGGTGGTCGGCATCGCGTGCATGCAGCTCGTCGAGAAGGGCCAGCTGAGCCTCGACGACGCGGACCACCTGGAGAAGCTCTGCCCGGAGCTGGCCGACATCAAGGTCCTGACGCCCGAGGGCAAGCTCGTTGACAAGAAGCGCGGCATCACGCTCCGCATGCTGCTGACGCACACGGCTGGGTTCGGGTATACTTTCTTCAGCGAGCGGCTGCGCGATTGGAGTCTGCCAGCGGGGATTGATGAGTTCTCGGGAAGTGTGAGGGATATGGTGCAGCCTTTGTTGTTCCAGCCGGGTGAAGGCTGGGAGTATGGCGTAAGTGAAGTAACAACTGTTGAGACGATGGCCTCTGACTCGGAATTGTAGGTCGGCATTGACTGGGCTGGCATCGCCCTGGAGCGGGCCACGAACATCAGTCTGAACGACTACATCCAGGCCAACGTCTGCCAGCCTCTGGGCCTCAAGAACGTCAACATGATTCCGACACCCTCGATGAAGGCGCAGTTGGCGTACATGCACTACAAGAGGCCCGACGGCAAGTTGGTTCACAGAGACCACCCTCTCCATCGCCCATTGATCGTACAGTCAGAGGAGGAGATCCGCGCCTGCTTCAACAGCGGCGGCGCCGGCATCTTTGCAAAGCCTCAAGAATACACTCGTATGTACTTTGTCCCTCTTTGCTCATGCTCAACTGTTGGATGACTAACTAAAGATCTTCGTAGGCATCCTGGCAGTCTTCCTCAACGACGGGACCTGTCCCATCACAAAAGCCCAAATTCTCAAAAAGGAGACGGTAGACGAAATGTTCTCCAACCAAATCTCAAAGTTCCCAGACTTTGCCCGGCAGGGCGTTCAGGCTGCGAAACCGGAGCTGACCAACGGGATCCCGGAGCTCTACCCGATCCCGGGCAACCCGCCGCAGGGCTGGGGCCTGACGTTCATGATCACGGGCGGGCCAACGGGGCGCTCGAGCGGGACGGCGTGGTGGGCTGGGCTGCCGAACCTGTTCTGGTGGTGCGACCGGGAGAACGGGGTGGCCGGGATCGTGTGCTCGCAGATTCTGCCGTTTGGCGACGCTTCGGTCATGGGGCTCTGGGCGCAGGTTGAGGCTGCTGTGTATAAGGGGCTGAGTGCGTGATGTCTATGAGGATGAACGATTCTCATAATCTCAGTCTAAACACTGTGTTTCCGCGGGTTCGCGTCGTTCTCCTACTGATGAGGCTTGTTTCTCGTCGGAATTTTCGGAAACAGATTTCCATATATGGATGATTTCCTATTGGTCCCCTTTCATCAGAATGAGGCTAGTAATATGTGAGAAGGTCTTGAACCAATTCCATTGCCAGAGACTCAGTGCATGAGGGATGTCCAGCTCGCCATTGGCTTACCCAGGTGCCTAGGTAGGATGCAACTGCAAGACGACCTCAAAGTGGGCTGATTTTCCCATAAGGAACGTCCTGACGGTTGAAGAATGCAGCCAACAACATGGTAAGCTTCAAGAACGTCTAACCAAACCGTTGGATCCCTTGAACCTGCGCCTCGTAAGGTTCACCGAAAGCAGTGGAATCCGGGGTTGACAGCTCTCGCTTCCGGAGGATGGGGAAGCCCCCTCCCTTTCTTTTCCCCGGATCCCATCCCAACCCTGGTTCCCCCAGACCAGCCAACACCGGACTTGGCAACCGGCACACACCAGAGACGGAATCTCCTCGCAGAAGAAGAAGAGGATCTGCGGGGGGAAACATGAACCAACTGGCAAACTCACCGTATGCACCCCGCTTTCTTTTCCCTTGCTGACGCAGGCAACGCTAGAGTCTAAGAAAGGTGAGAGAAGGGGAAAAAAACGCGGGGTTTTGGCGACAGGGACCTCCCCGTGACGACGTCGTTTCGGATGGCCGGGGGATTTGACTGGTCACGAGTTTTGGAACTAGCGGGGATTTTTCTTTGTTGGGGCCTTGAGGGGGGGCAAAAAGAAACTGGAGACAGCTGGAGGACCACACCCACCCCTTCTTTTCCAGCTTCGATTGTCTCGAATCTCCGCCTCACAACCTGGCTCAACCTCCACATTGAAATCTCATCTCACCTCGCCTTGACACATACCCACCGAGCCGTGTGAGAAGCATCACGATAACCGACGATACGCGAATGCGATGAGACGGCAGAATAGCAGCTGCGACCAATGTCGCAAGGGCAAGAGGGCCTGCGACGCGGGCGCCCTCAAGGATATCCAGCTGTGTCTGGATGCAGACCTTCAATGGGAGGTTGGTAGGTAGCACAGAGTGAATTGAGCAATGAGACAACGAAAACACTCTCTCTTCAACCCCGGGACTAATTTCTTGATGAACAGACTGGCAGAGCATGAACGGGCCGTGCTCAAACTGTTCAAAGACGCGCAAGTCGTGCACATTCAACTGGGCCCGGTCACAGCAGGCCCAGCTCCGGGTCCGAAGGCAGTCCGCCGAGAAGACCGCTGCTGCTGCCGCTGCCGGCTCCGCCTCCGCTTCCGCCGCGCCGAGTCGGAAGAGGGTCAAGTCAAATCACAGCAAGAAGGTCAACAACGACAGCAGCAACAGCAACAAAGCCTCTGTATCGCCAGCATCCCAAGGTCCATCAGGTCTGAGTGAGGCCCAACTCGCCGAGCTTCAGTCACTCATCCCGGATCATGTCGCATCATTCACCCACGAGACGCCAAGCTCACATGCCTTTGGCGGAGCAGCAGCAGCAGCAGCAGTAGCAAACGACTTTGGGTTTCCCCAAAACCTATTCACGCTATCCCCCGCCGACGAGCACCTCACCTTCGACCCATCCGCCGACGACGCCGCCTCGCTCCTCTTCCCGGGCCCCTCATCCCTCTCAGCGCCCAGCTGTCTCTCAGATGAGCTACCAGGCTTCGACGACGCCGATCTCGTCTCCATGCACGGCGCCTCGACCATCAGTCTCAGCCCGGACTCGACTTGTTCGACCATGGGCATCGACCCGAATGCCCGCAAGAGGGCGTGGCAGCAGGCGCACGCCATGAACTATGCGCCACCTGGCGGTGCTGGGATCTCAGAGTACTCGGCCACGCAGGCGCTGATTGCGCGGACGAATCAGACGCTCATGACGGATAACCTCATGAAGCTGTACCACGACGTCATGGAGGGCGCGCTCTCGTGCTGGCTGGTGGAGCAGAACTGTCCCTACATCCTAACCCCCACACAGCTGGAGCGCTCGAGTCTCGGCGACGCGCGAGGTCACGACCCGGCGCAGATTCATCTCAATCTGCCCAACAGGATTTACCGCCGCGTCTTCAAGCTCGACAAATCCCTCGCCTCGCTGGGTCTGAAATCGCTCAGCGTATCCGAAGACCGAAAGGCCACGAGAGCGCTACATCTCGCCATCATGGCATTCACGGCGCAGTGGGCACAGGGAAGTCAACGGAGTCAAGCGCGGTACCAGAAGCCAAACGGCTTCGGGGACTCGTCCGCGCCGGGGACCGAACAGGAATTCGACACGGCGCTGCAGATATCATTTTGGAACCAGGCGCAGCGGTGTCTGGACGACTGTGCGGGCGTGGACTCGTTCAAGGTGGCCATGGCGGAGCTCCTTTTTGGCCTCACGCAGAAGAACCAAGAGAGCGCGGAGGGGATCGGGTGGGAGTTTGGCGAAGGGATGGTTGGTCAGAGTCAGTTGGGGTACGATTACGCCAACGGAGACGGGAACGACTGGGAGACGCCGGGGACAAAGGAAAAGGTGCAGACGGCGCTGGACGAGGAAGGGTACTCGCTCTACGTCGAGCGCGGCGCCCGGCGCCTGCACGTTCTCAAGCGCAGGTCTGAAAACTTTGAGAGGAGGAAGAGAGTAAAAGCGCGCGGGACCGCCAACGCGAGGACCGGATCAGGATGGGCTGTCGGCGGCGGAGAAGATGCTCACGGCGAAGAAAAAGCGACGATGAAGATGCTCTTTTGGCTCGCCATCATGTTCGACACCCTATCCTCCGCCATCTCCGACAGACCGCCCGTCGTCTCGGACGAAGACAGCCGCGAGACAGCAACAGCAAAGAAGCAAGACTCGCCGCCCTGCAAAGACGAAGACGACGACACCATCCCGGTAGCGATCCCATCCCCAGAAAGCTGGAACGACCAATTCATCATCAAACGCAACCAGAAACTCGCCCCCCTCCGCTGGCCCTGCCCCACCGACACATTCGAGCGCGAACTCCGCGACGCAGCCCCCGTCAAAGTCCTCCTCTTCCGCAAAATCACACGCATCCAAGCCCTCTCCTCCCGCGGCTCCGCGTCCCCAAAGTCCATCGAGGACGCAATCCAAGACGGGCTGGCGGTGTACCGCCACTGGAACATGATGTACGGCCCCCTGTTCCGGGATTGCATCGAGCACCACGACGCGATCCCCTCCAAGATCCAGAGCTGGTACATTTGTCTGCTGGGACACTGGCTCCTCGCGGCGATGATGATGGCGGATTGTATCGCGCTCGTGGACGAGCAGGGACTGGGCAGCGCGACAAGGGCCGCGGAGAGGGTGGCGAGCGGGTTGGTCGGGGATTTGAGGAGGGCGAGCGTGCGGGAGGTGTCTGATCTCGCGAGGGCGGCTACGCCGCAGCATGATGTAGGCGGGTTGGGGGTGTTGTTGGATTTTCATCCGGCTGTGAAGGAGGGGGCTTTGCTTACGGAGCCGTGGACTATGGTGCTGATTCGGTCGTTTGCGATGGCGGGGACGTTGTTGCTTGAGGAGGCTGGTGGTGGGTTGGGTGTTGGGGATGAGGTTGTGGTGGAGGCGTTGGATCGGTGTGAGGACTGTGTCAAGGCGTTGTGGTATTTGGGGCGCAAGTCGACTTTGTCGAGGCAGGTTGCTGGGATTCTGGGCGGTGGGTTGCTTGCGGAGCGGGCGAAGGGGTTGAGCGTTGAGGGCATGGTTGGGAGTCAGGATTCTTGGAACGTTTTTGGGCCTGTTGAGATTTTGTGATTTGAGCGGCCTTGGGGGTCCAGGGACGGGCCTTGGGTAATGCAAAAGGTGATTAAAAGGAGAGATAGAGTGTATGTATGTCGAGTTGTGCCGACAACTCAACAGTTAATGACGAAGCGACTGGAATACGATGTCACGATCATGGGCCATGTTCCGTTCATGCAGCACACAGCTATCCCCCCCGTTAATGATGCACGACCCTGATGACTGCCACTCCAACAGTTACCTGATATGGTTGATGCCATGACAGAAACGAAGAAGTCCTGAATGCCAGGCTCGAGATCCCTCATCAGCCTTACCAGGAAGATAAACTCCGATCACCTACCGGAGACTCGGTAGATACGTATACCAGACCCGCTCCGTGCCGGGATAAAGGTACGTCACACGCCCCTCAAACCCCGAAACCCCGCATCCGACCGCCGATAAGCAACCCCACCCGCCATCAACCTCCGTTCTCTCCCCCGGAGGACCTCGTTCCTCATCTCACCGACAACAAGACAAGCCTCACAAAACCATCAAAACGCACTCAAACATCCCCGACAGGATTTCTACAAACCACACTCCTCACAGCCCCCGCCCCAAGAAAATGGCCCCCCCCTTCCACATCACATCCGCAAACCCAACCCTCCACTGGTCAAGCAAAACCCCTCCCCTCCTCACCGTCCCCCAAAACCAGCCCGTGACCTTTGACCTCCACGACTCCTCCGGCGGCCAAATCACACCCTCCACGACACCAACCTCCCTCGCGACCCTAAACCTCGCAACCTTTGACCCGATCCACGGCCCCGTCGCCATCGCCGCCGCACACCCAGGCTCCGTCCTCGAAATCGAATTCCTCTCCCTCAAACCCTCTACGGGCTGGGGCTGGACCGCAATCCTCCCCGGCTTCGGACTCCTCGCAGACGACTTTCCAAATCATGTCATTAAGCACTTCCACTGGGACGAGGACGCGACGCATATCGTGTTTAAACCAGGCATCAAGATCCCGCTGCGTCCGTTTCTGGGGATAGCGGGGGTATCACCGGCTGAGGCAGGTCCGTTCCCGACGATTCCGCCGCTGGAGACGGGCGGGAACATAGATTGCAGACACATCACGGCCGGAACCAAACTCTACCTCCCCATCCGCGTCCCGGGGGCGAATTTCTCCTGCGGGGACGGGCATGCCGCGCAAGGAGACGGGGA